CAAGGTACTCCCTTTTGGACTTGCAAATGCCCCAGCAATATTCCAGCAGACGATGCACCATATATTTGGTAATCAAATTGGCAAACACGTTCTGGTTTATCTGGACGACATCTTAGTGTTTAGCCAAATTGCTGAAGAACATCTTAAGCACCTAAGACAGATGTTAAAAGTGCTATGACAACAGAAATTGTATTGTCGTATGCACAAGTGTCAGTTCAATAAGGAGGAAATCTCCTATCTGGTGTCTCAAGAGGGTATACGCCCAGATCCCGAAGGGATCGAAAAGATTAAGAACTGGCCTGTACCACAATGCGTGAAGCATGTACAGCAGTTCCTCGGGCTGGCAAACTATTTTCGAAAGTTCATACAGGGCTATTCGAAAATGGCTACTCCCTTGACAGACTTGACCAAACAGAATGGCAAGTGGGAGTGGACCGCGAAATGTCAAGAGACATTTGAGCATATAAAGGAGTGTTTAACCACAGCTCCATTGCTCAAGATGCCAGAGCCTGAGAGGCCTTTTGAGGTCATAGTAGATGCCTCTCAAACTGCAGTGGGAGCAGTTCTGATGCAAGATAATCATCCAATCTGCTATGCCAGCAGAAAGTTCCTCCCGGCGGAGTTGAACTATAGTGTGACGGACCAAGAAGCGTTAGCTTCTATTCACGCTGTCCAGTTATGGAGGTGTTACCTTGAAGGGACATGCTTCAAACTGGTGACAGACCATTGTCCGTTAACTTATCTCAAGTCACAACCACAACTGAGCCGAAGACAAGCCAGGTGGTCTGAAATCTTACAACAGTTTGACTTTGACTGGGAATATCGCCCAGGGCGAAAGAATGTGGCTGATCCACTCTCTCGCATTCCTCCATCTCCCGACGAACGGGAAGCTAGGAGGAAAAGTCAACTGATTGTCTGTGGCTTAAGAGTAATACACAAGCGGGGAAATAAGAAAAAGACGGTAGAGGCAGAAGATCTGGCCTCCAGGATCCGTCGGGCCTATGGCCAGGATCCCCAGCTTGCATCTGTAAAACAGCAGCAAGAAATGCGTTGTACAGACGGGTTATGGCTGCGAGGCAAACAGGTATATATACCAGCCAGTCTGCGGACTGAGATCTGCCAGTTGGCTCACGACCATCCAAGTGCAAAACACTTTGGTCAAGCCAAGACCCTGGACTTGGTCCAGAGGCATTACTGGTGGCCAGGAATGCGACGAGAAATCCAACTATATGTTGATACTTGCCTGGTTTGTCAACAGGCCAAGTACTCTCGTCAAAAGGCCCCAGGCTTATTACAGCCTCTGGGCATTCCTGAGGAGCCATGGACTAAATTGTCCATGGACTTCATTACACAACTGCCAAAAACTAAGGGAGGTCATGATGCTATCGTCGTGTTCGTCGATAGACTGACCAAAATGGTCCGCTTCGCAGCCACGACCACTGAGCTCTCCGCAGAAGGAGCAGCCGACCTGTTGGTGCAAAATGTGATAAGGCACCACGGTCTCCCCTCTCAAATAGTGTCTGACAGAGATGTTCGGTTCACTTCCAGGTTTTACCGGTACCTGGCCGAGAGGTGGAAGATTCAGCTCAACATGAGCACTGCGTACCATCCGCAAACGGATGGCCAGACTGAAGTCATGAATCAGATTCTGGAGGATTACTTACGCAGCTATACGCATTCTGACCATGACGCGTGGGATGAACTGTTAGCCATGACCGAGTTTGCAATGAACAACTCGAAAAACAATTCCACCCAAGAGACCCCATTCTACTTGAACTACGGTCGACACCCAACGAGTCCCTTAGCTCTTGGGGTGCAGATTCGGAAGCCTTTGAAGGGCTATGACAATCCGAATGCCCGTGGCTTGGCAGTGGCCATTGATAGGGCGCAGCAGCCTTACTTAAGGCATACTGGTACACCCCTCATGGAGGGCCTACCAGCCATGACACGATTTGATCACCGTGTCCAATCAGCGCTGAAAGAGGCCAGGGCGTGCTTAGAAAAAGCACGGGATAGGCAGTCAAAGCATGCAGACCGCCATCGGAGGGATGTGTCGTTTAATAAAGGAGATGACGTCCTCCTTTCGACACAGCATATCACCCTCAAGCACCCTGGAACTCGAAAACTACTACCGAGGTGGATTGGGCCCTTCACCATCCTCGACCGGATAAGTCCTGTCGCATATCGACTGGAACTTCCGGAAAGCATGCATAAGATACATCCGGTATTTCACATGTCAAAGATTAAGCCGTATAAGGCTAGTGGCAGAGTACAGCCACCTCCTGTCCCTATCAAAATCGAAGGGGAACTGGAATATGAAGTTGAACGCATTTTGGACAAAAGAATTAAAAAGCGCGGAAGGCGCCAAAACTCGGTAAAGTACCTTGTCAAATGGCTGGGATATGGACATGAGCATAATAGCTGGGAATCAGCAAAAGCAGTTGCAAATGCACAGGAACTGGTTCAAGCATTTGAAAATGGAAGAACTCCTGTTGTGCATGTATCAACTGATCAAAGTATGAAACGTACATGTTGAAATAAGCTCATGTGTGGTTATGCCTTTGACAGGTCTTGCTAAAATGGGCACAGAAGCAAACCGGTTATACCGAACCCCGTACAAGAACGTTGTTCGGATACATGAATGCGATGTCCGTAGCTATTTTGAATGGGGAACGCCTGGCCACCGACCAGCCATTGATCCAACCCCCTCGTGAGCCCGTTCGTGGACGTGGGCGAGGACGAGGTACTTCGCAGCCTTGGGGAGGACATAGCTGGGCATATAGTGGCAGCAAGTATTTGGGTCGGGGTCGGGGACGTGCAAGTTAGCCTGCATGTTCCACATGTTTCCCTTGGACGGGCCTAGGCCGGAAGGTCAGAACCTTGCAGCCGAAGTGCTGAACGAAGAGTTTTAATGAGGGTTGTCAAAGGCCGGCAGGTCATGTAAAACAACCACTCTTTCTCTTCACTACAATATGTATAATGTATGTATGACTATCGTGCAAACTGGGCATGTGGCAATCCGCACAGCCAGTTGCCGTATACATACATAATGTTTCTGCTCCCGTATCCACGCATTGGGACGAGGATGCCCCTCTCCCTGAGGGGGACGAATGTTACGCGCACCGGCCTGATGTGGGGGACGCCCTACTACTGGCCCTTGGTGTGGGGGACGCCCTGCCCAAGATAACTATCCTCAACCCATAGTAACCGCTTTAGGTATTAGGATACGGGAGTAGGAGGGGTGGTCCCGCCTAGGTCCCTGTAAGGACCTAGGTGCCCGGCGAGGTGGGTCCGCAGCTCAAAGAGGGCAGGAACCCCACACCCACAGACTTTACGTATCAACGGAATTCTGAGCCGGCGCGGCAGCCAGCGAGCAAGTGGCAGGCGAGGGGGGCAGGAGCCGGGGGTGCGGCCCCACAGGGGGGGGGGGGGGGATTTAGGTCTAACGAGCCAGATTGTCATGTGGGCGCAAGGTTGGTTTGATGGGTGAAGTAAGATACTGTAAAAAGTGAATGGTAGGGTCGTGGGGTGGTACTAGGGGATGGACAACCACACGTGAAAGGCTAAGTGGGATTTTGATGGCTCCATGTCAGTAGACCATTCGGGAAGGAAAAGGGGTGGTTTGTAGTAGCGAGGGACATTCTGTTTTTGCTTGCCATGGGTGGACGTGCACGCCAAACACTCTGTAAGCCCCAAAGAGGGCACTTTGCCGCCTACGCAACCTAGTAGTGTGGTCACCATACGGGTGACGAGGTGACGCGACAAGCCGACTGTCCACGCGCAGGCATACAAGCCATGCTAAGGTTTGGTGGGCGTTGTGTTGTGTCGTGTCGTGTTGTTTTTGCAGTGCCTGTGTTGGTGTGAACTCGTGGGGGTGAACTTGGGAGTGTGAGTGCATGTGTTGAGTGTGTTAGAGGGTGGGGAACTGTACCCCTTATCTTGCTTGTATTTGCTTGTTGTTAGTGGCCACTGGATGAACAAAACCCATGGCACATTTGGACTGATCGAGTAACCATCTGGCAGCCATCTATTTTAGAGGTTATTGTCTTCTGTTCTTTATGAATGGAAACCTGCTGGTTGTGAGCTGTTGATCAACAAAGTGAATGAAATTAGAGTTGAATCCACACAACCAGCTGTGAATCTGTGGGGTGATTACATTAAACCTGCCGGTTGTACTGGTCATAAAGAAAGATGGCCAGGCAACATTATCAACTCTCTTTAATGAACGGCCCTCACGAACAAGACCAATATATTCTCCCCCTGCCAACCCTGGTGCGGCCGCACCCTACATTACGCACCTTGGGCCCCGCCCGCCCCGACCGGTACTTTAGAACATTCAGGATGGCCCCCTTGCCTCGCCGGGGCCCCTCAACACCCCACCAAGCCACTCTCCCCACCAAAAGAGCTGAAACTAGAACTCCCCCCCCCTCCTTGTGACCTGCACACCCGGGTGTGTGTGGCCGTGGCCTTGGCGGCGAGAAGAGGCGGAGTCGAGGAGAAGGGGATTGGAGAAGAACCAGGGATCGGAGAGGAGCAGCGCCCTGCTGGGCGGCCAATGGGTGGTCCCCTCGATGCCGCGAGGGGCGCCCGTGGTGTACAGTCGAGGTTGGGCCGGCAATCGGCAGCGTCTGGGTTGGTCGAGGGGAGCTTTGGGCTCGGGAGGGTCGGGGGAAGACCTGGTTGGAAATTGGTTTGGGAATGATGAGCGGAACAGGGGGCGGGAGGCCGGGGGGAGGGGCCATTGCATCGACGCGCATCGACGCGATCTGTCGGAGAATGCGGTGTTGGTGGAATGGCTGGCGCACATTGGGCATCGCCCGCCCGAGAAGAGGTCTTTGAAGCGCTCTGTTGTTGCGTGAGTGACGGAGCAGAGGAGTGCAAGGAGGGGGGTGGGTCGCCGGCCCCCGTTCGTTTCTGCGCGCCCCGTTGCGTTTCGGGGGACCGGAGGCGTCGCGCTGGGCGCTGCGCGGCACATCGTTCTGGCCATTCCTGGCCGCTCCATGGCGAAGGGCGTTGCCGAAAAGTGGGTTCCCACCGGACGGGCGGGGCCGCTGCTGCTGCCTGGAGGGCGGCATGATCGGATGGCGGCCCAGATGCGGGCGCGATGGGCGGCCTGGGGATGGGGGCCCGCCCTGGCGTCGCAGATTTCGGCAATTTTCTGTCTCTTGGGAGTGGAACGGAGTCTGCAAAAATTCTTTTGCCCTTTGGAAAGGGCATCGCAGAATTCGGTAACGTCTGTCGCTCCGAGTGGGACGGAGGTTGGTCAACTTTGCTGCTCTTCTGCCTTTCGCGAGAAAGTGCAATTTTGCGACGTGCGCCTCCTTTCTTCCTGTTTTTTTGTGTTCCTTGATGCTGTGGGGTGGGGTTTGCCGATCATTGTGACGTCAGCGTAGACCGCCAGGAAGGGGACGCTGTTTGACTATAGGACTTCAGCAGAGACACGTGACGTGACCAATGTGTCGAATTTTTAACGTTGCCTGTAAGCATGTTCACTCACTCACTCACTGTTCCTTTCTTTCTTTCTTTCGACGCCAAATATTTTCTGCTGAATCAGACTGCGATTAGCTGCGGGAATGAGAGGGGTCGTTGCGCTTGGGTACGTTATGTGTGGGGCGCTGTCGTTGTTTTCCCTGACCCGAGCCGTTGACAATCTGTGCAAGGGATTCCCATGGAATGCCATCGCTGGTGTGTGGCACTGGCTGGTTGGTTGCCCCGCGCTAAGGATGGGATGGCTGGCCTGAGGGTCGCCGGCTTGAGTGGCCTGGGATGGGATGTGGTTTGGGCAGGTTGGGGCCAATGAGCGGAGTTGAGGAGCCCTTGCAGGGTTTTGAGCACTGGGATCGGTTGGCAGGGCTTTGTCCACAGCCTTGCCATTCTTTCTCCCAGTTGACCATGTGGGGGCGCTGGCTGTTGTTGTTGTTGTTTCTATTGTTCTTGCTGATGATTCCATAGCAGTGCGCTGTAGCGATGTACAGATCGGAGTCCTGACGTGTTGGCGGTGGGCAACGGGGCTTGCTGGTCAGGGGATTTGGGGTTTCCACTTCGAAAATGGAAGGACAAGAAAGAACAATTCAATAACTGACATAAAAGGACAATTGAAAAGGAGGCAAAGACAATGTAACAAACACAAGAGGAACATGAGAACTTTCTTTTGTGTTTTTGCAGCGAGTGTGTATGATGTGATTCAGCATTACGAAATCGGCGAGGATGTCGGCTATGGAGGTGTGCGCATGATTGCCTTTCTTGCCGCACCCCTCTGTGTGTTGGATGGCAACAAACTACAGACCCATGCATTGCCGCATTCATCACTCCGTGCTACCTTGATTGAACAATGATGAACTGTCCTGCCGAGTGCAGCAGGTCGTTGTTGCTACATATTTAAGAAGACCTGACTGGGCATTGCTCCTCCACCTGGCAGTGCCAGGCTTTGTCCACAGCAGCGAAAGATATCCGCAACAAAAATACCAAAATCAGTCTGGTTGCTACAAAGGAAAGATGTGCCAGAACATGTGTGCCCTGCGCCGCCCCACTCTTATGGTATTCAGAGAAGATCTTGCAACGTCTTCTTCTTGTGTCGTTTTTCCTTTTCCTAACGTGTTTTGCCCAACTTGTTGTTCAAGGAATGCCCGGAACAGCTCCTGGACTGCCAGGGAGGTGGTAGTCATTTGCAGGGCATGGCTGATTTATGCTTATTCGGTGTTGTCTTCCTGTGATGGTCTTTGCAATGCATCTTCTTTGCTTGCATCTGGGGAGCTCACATAAAGCTGGTGGCTTCCCAGTACTCCTCGATTCCAATACGCCACATATTGGTTACTTTGCTTACTTTGTATTTGGTGTGTTTTATTCCATCGCATGTTTCGGAATCCAAAAAATGTCCACCCATCTTTTTGGGCAGCGATCTATCTTATCTGACCTCTGTCCTGTCTTGTTTACTGTTGCTGTGTGTATTGCTCGTTTATTTCGTCCTATGGATTGAGTGGTTGTGACAGGTTATGCGGTTGTCAAGAAGGGGAGGGACAAAAGTACTGGGGACCAGGTCGCCATCAAGGTGTGGGGGTGGATGTGCAATTCTTCCTGTTGCTTTTCTGAGTGCGAACTGGGTCTTTGGAGTTATTAGTGATAGTGTGAATGGTGTACCTGTATTGCTAGTAGGCACGTATAGGTAATTTGCTGGGAGTAAAGTACTGAATTTGTAGGCTTTGGGCAGTGGACAGTGGTCTATGAACTACCCTTCCCCGCATTATGCTTGGAGCAAAACAAAGTCATGTCAGACTTTGCTCAGCTGACACGCCAATGCATATGAGACGAAACAGTTTGTGTGCAGGCAAGTGCTACCGATCAACTGTAGCCAGCATGGGCAATGATTTGGAAAGAAATGCGTCATGCTCATTTGTTTTCTGCCCCTCAACACTATGCACTGGAAGGAGACGTTTGATCGTGTCAGTTAGGAAAGGTACTGAAAACGCCATCAGCAACTGTTGTTCTTGTATGTAAGCTTGTAAAAGCTCTGTTAACTTGAGAATGCCGAAACTTTGACTTAGAACTTCAATGCTACTCAATTGCAATGCCACCAACACTATTGGTGCAGGAGATTTCCACAATTCAGCATGTTTGTGCAGAGATAGAAATTGTATGGATCGACTGATAATGTCCACCTTGACATGGAGCCGTCAATCACGATGCTGGTTCGGCCTCTGCAGTATTTAGATGTTATCCAAGAATGCAATTTGGGAATAAAGAAATTGCAGAAGTGTCTGCAGTTTGTGGACAGCGATTGGTTGTGCCAAGAGATGTTTCACAATCTGTGAAGCATGATGGCTGGTAAACACTTGTACAATCGGATGCCTCAAACCGGTTTGACGTGCCATTGCTGCACTGTCGCTCAGCAGTTTTGGCCTTGATGTGTAACTGTTTTCGTATTCCAAAATATCACATCACTTTTTTACTGCTGGTGGTGTTGCTAAATGGCTTGCAACGTCGCTTGAACTATGCCTGAATGGATTGACGGGCTTGGCATGCAGCTCCCAAACAGTCTCAACACCACTATGTGTTGGCCACAAAGGAATCCTGAAAGTGGGATCTGAGGGCCTTACAACAGCCAGCGGTTGTCTGCTGTATGCAGATTGCCCCTTCAGTGATTGGCAAAATTGTCACCCCAGGATCCATTGTCAGGCATGGCAACCAAGGTCCTCGTGTGTCTTCCCAAAACTGCAAAGACAATGTTTGAGGTGCAGGGGCGAATCAGAACAGCGCACAAGAGTGAATTTGGTTGAAATCGACTGGTTCATGCCTTTGTTGTAGATCGTTGACAAGACGAAGTATGACCCTGGCGACGATCGACTGGAGCATGAGATCAATGTGCTGCTTCAGGTGCGACTAGGACAGTGCAGCCATGGATGCACACATAGCAACAATATGCCAAAGGTTGGGTTATAAGTTGTACAATCAACCACAATGTGTTAGTCATGAACTAACAGCTTATGGACTATCGTATCAATAAATGAGGTAATAAGGATATGCTATCTTCTGATAGACCTCACACACAACAGCGGCTACAGAAGGAGTCAATCATCGTCTGCTTAGTGTCCAACAAGCAGTGTTCCCCACACCCGTTAGTTGCTCAGCATGAAGAGGGTTGCAGAAAAGCCAACGAACTTATGATGTGCTTGGTGCAATTCTGTCACGTATGTTGCAGTTTTCTACAACATTGTTAAGTTATACTCTGTGAGGGTCCATTTGACGCCTTCTGCCCAGGCGCCACCATTGCCCCTTCCTGCCGTTGGCCAGCACCTTGAGGCAAAGTCCTTGCTCTGAGGTTTGCCAAAGGCCAATGGTGGAGCACTTTGTGGGCAAAAGTTGTGGGATCCTTGATACTTAACGGTAGATTGTCGACCCCTTTTCTGAAAGGGTGTTGTGCTATTTCATCACACAGATCTCCCACCAGCGATGCATACAGGTTTATGATGTCTTTGTGTCGCACCAGAAGGTTTTCATCGTCACCGAGTTTGTGACAGGAGGGGAGGTGCTGGACAGGTATGCGGCATCATCCTGTCAGCTCTGTGATGTTTTTGTGAGAAGTTAAAAGTGTTTTGATGGAAGAAGAGATCGTGGATTTGGTTCAGAGTATTTCTGAGTTCTTCCCTGGAACAAATCCGCGATGCATTTTTTGGTGCCAAACTTTGCTTTACGCTCACAATTGTACACGTGCATCCACATCTTGGAATCTGAAATACGATAGTTATTTGTGCTGAAATCCATACTTATGTTGTATTAATGTTGATAGACTTAGTTATTGCCGAGAAGAAAGCCCTGCATCTCTGCATCCCATCGATCCGAAAACAGGATAATGCACAGCTGCCAGCGAAATTGGCACTAGAAGCAGGAGTGGTTAAGTGGGGCAAATCTATTGTTGCAACATTCAACCTGAGTTGAGTATTTGATGGTGTAAGGACATGCTCAGCAGTGAAAGAACGCCACTCTGCACAATTTTAGTGCATTATATATTGCTAATACATGATTTTTGGCAGTTTGACACGCTTCAGTAATGGAATTACATATTGTAAATTGGCCACTATGTGATAGTACACCCTTGCACCTGTCAGGCACTGCCCAGCAGTGCTCATGGAAACAAACTATGTACCATTTTCTTAAGTTCTTTAAAACTAAGGGAATTACAATGGGTAGCAAATCCTGAGAAAATTGAAGGTGCTGCTGCTGGCGATGGCATTCCTGTGCGATGGCACCTGTGCCACGAGTTGCACATTGTGTTACGAGTTGCATGCTGTGTTGCTTTTATAGCCTTTCAGAGGTGCTTGTGTGCGCTTTTGCAGGCTGCAGAGGCTGGGTCCCTACTCAGAGAAGGCTGCCAGCGTCTTAATAAGGGATGTCATTGAAGGGGTGGCGTATCTCCATGCTCATGGTATGTGATCAACTGTTTGTCAGGTGCCATATTTGTTCTTCCTTTTGTGCACCCACCATTTGGTGTTTGTTTTTACTGTTGGTTTCTTTTGGTTGCAAAGAATTGGAGCATAGCAGTGTCATTGGTGCTACTTCCGTTGTAGCTGTTGTTGCCTTTTGTGACCTTCTGACTGAAACAGTGACTGGAAGATTGTGTTGCTGTTGTGCTGTATTCATGGGTGTGGTACTCAGGCAATGAAAATGAATCTAGAACTCTTGAGTGCAGAAAAGCATGTTCATTGCCTCAACACTACGACAGTGATAGCATGGATGTGATATCCATGCAGACACATGCACGTACAAATGCAGGCAGGCAGGCATGTGCTGTTGATGAATGCGCAACCACTGTTGGGTACTCAGCTCTCTGTCCTTGCATCTAAGAACCTCATCTTGGCCTAGACCCAGCAGTCACAATCGCATCCATGCTAACAGTCAAATTGTTATGCAACGTGCAATTGGACAGATCCCTTGGCTGATCAGCCGATCAGTGGCTTAAAAGGTGCCAATCATCATAATTGACAGTGCATTTTGATTTGCTTATTAAACAAAGAAGCTTGCCCGTTGAGCCAAAGGCATGTTCGATCCAGTACTTTAGAACACGAAAGCAGCAGCTCACTTGCCCTGTGGTATGTGAATGAAACCAATAGAATCATGTACAACATGGCAACCAAACAATGCAACAACCAATGCACGTAAAGTATAAATATAAGTGGAGTTTAGTTGAAGTACAAAGTAAATAATCAACATGCCCTTTCAGGCGTCGTCCACCGTGACCTCAAACTCGAGAACCTCCTGCTGATCGATGAGAGCCTGGAGTCCAAGGTCAAGATCGCTGACTTTGGCCTCTCCAAGTTCTTCGGAAAGGATGAGACGGTGCTGGCCACGATGTGCGGGTCCCCTGAGTACGTTGCACCAGAGGTCCTGGGCGTCGACGAGTTCTCGGACCACTACACGCCCGCAGTGGACATGTGGAGCATCGGTGTCGTGCTGTACGCGATGATGTGCTGCTACACGCCCTTCTGTGAGTGCCCATGTGGTCCCCATTCGCTTCTTGTTGTTTCGTTTGCCTCTTACTTGGTTCCTTTTCCCTTTCGGGTACTGGAGACATATGGAGATGAGCGTTGGATGGTGATTGTGAAAGGGGGAGGGGGGAGCGAGGCGCATGTGTCACTGGGGCTTTTGCACGCTTTTAACAGCTTCCTGTGGCTTGGAATTGTCCTTGCGATTTTACAAGTGTTGAATCTCGTTAAGTGGCGCTAATTGTGTGTTTTATTGTTGCTGGCACAGTTGTATTAACATACTTCCTTGCATGAATGGTGGTGATCGCCTCAAGAACAAAGCACATTGTGCTGTCTTGGCCGGTTTCTCTTGTCCCTTATTTCACTGGCACTTGGCTGCTTCTGCACATTGCTGCTGTTTCACATTTACTTTCATCAATAGCACACTAATGCAGCAATACAACAGAACAGTAACATGGTAGTATAATGATATTGTATAACATGATGAGTATTGGCACCTTGTGAAATCTAACCGTGCAGCTCTTCCGCTGTCTCTGGTCCACGCTGCTCGGCTGTTCGTAGTTTTGTTCGCCACACTTTTTGCCTTCCCACTCTGCACTTTGCCCACCAGTGCGCCTCCCCTTGCACTCATTCTTCCACCCCCCTCCACCCCGCAGACGATGACAACCAAACCCAGATGTACCGCAACATCACACTGGGCCGCTGGAACAAGGAGGACCCCAACTGGAAGCGGCTGTCTCCGCAGCTGAAGGATCTCATCACAAGGCTGCTGAAGGTGGACCAGAATGCACGCCTCACGGCAGAGAGGGCTCTGGACCATCCATGGGTGAAGGGGACGTGCTTTGCGCCCAACGAGCCACTGGGTGCGTTGTGCATCTGCTGTGAATGATAGCTGGACAGATCGGCATAAGATCCGCCCCTTTGGCACTGGCCAGATTCACCATTGTCAAAATTTACACATCAAGGCAAGGAGGATTGGGAGCTAATTGCAAGTGGTGGGAGCTACTGACCAGATGCGCTGGCTTTGTTGTCGACGCAGAAATGCATTTGGTGTCCCAGTGTGGTTTTTCTGTTGCTTTGCCTTGTTTAGTCAATTCGCTGGTCCTGTCTGTGCCTGTTCTGATGGACAAGTGCTTGGCAATTCATTGCCCATTCACGGACGATTGGTGCCTCGCCACAGGTCCCGTTCACCCCTTTGCCGACCTCGTCCGTCAGCAGATGGAGATGGAGGAGGAGCAGATGGAGGAGGTCGCCGAGGATGAGTAACACTCGTCTAACATGGCTGAGTGCTTGCAGAACCAGTGCAGCCGCAACTCCAGCGCACAATGGTGAGGCATCCGCCCTGTCGGAGGGCTGACAGTGCAGGCTGTGATTGCCGGCAGCCTGGTGTGAATCTGTTCAATCTGCCGAATGCAGTTTTCGGAGAGTACGGCATTCATTCGCTGGGTGTTTACCCGTTGGCCACCTGTTGGGAGCACACGATGGTGGAAGGAAGTGTTTGCAGGGAATATGGGCCTTGTGCCTCCTGTGGGGGAACAGCTTTGTCCACCGTACGTGTTTTGTGTGTGCTGTGTAGTGCGTTTTGGCCCGAAATGGTCGCTCAATAGTTTGTGTGACACTGATTGTTGTTGCTTGTGGGGGTTGTGTCTTCAAACGCTCTGGGGGGCCAGATCTGGGTGCACCTGGGTTTCCAGATCTCTATGTGTGGCACCATGTACCATGGTTGCTCTTTTTTGAGGGGCATGAGGGGCCGCTCCGGGTGTGGGGACACAAAAGGGAGCAGGATTTTTGAAGATGAAAGATGGAAAGAAGTGGTGCCTGTTGGCAGGAGTGACGATGGCGGGTGTCTCTAGTTTGTGGGTGAATGAGCTTTTTGGCACTGTGGCATGTGCCCACATCCTTGAGGCTGTGTGGGCAGTGCGAGGATGCACAAACGCTGCCAAGACATGGTTGCTGTTGGTGTGTTGCCCCAGCACTTGGAAATCGATTGAACTGGACCCCTGCCAACCATCTCACAGGGTTTCTTGCCGTACCATGGACCACCGGGTTCTGTGGTTGCCTGGCTTCGAATTGGAGTTGTGGATAGCCAGGGCCAGGAATGGTGGCCCTATATCGAGGCAGCTGTTTGATTGTCACTGTGGCGCGGGACGGTGTGTACACCTGCGAGGCAGAGAGGGCCACTCAGAGGAGTTGTGTTGGCTGTCTGTTTTCGTTGGCAGGATGGGCAGAACGTGTGCCAGAGGGCGGTGAAGGGCATGAGTTTGTGCAAGTTATAGGGGACTTTGATGCAGTACCTGGTGGTTATGCTTTTTGGTTTGCTTGAGGACTGTGCAGGTCACTGGTTGGGAAAGGGAGGGGGGGGGAGGTCTGAGATGTGGCTTTTGTTTCGATTTTCATTGTCATCAGGGTTGCCATGCCTGCACGTCAGGTCTGCACTTTGGGGCTTGTGCATCTGCTCATTAATCAATCCATCATTCTGTCCATGGTCAGTCGATCATCCGACCTTCAGTCGCATTGTGAGCTGAGCCAGCATAACACCAACAGGGCAGGACTGGACTGGTGTCGTCAGTGCAAGAATTTGGCTGTGTCACACGCCTCTCCTGGGAACACACCTCCTAAGCATGACAATCTGACAAGGGGTGCTGTTGCACCATCAGGCGATCCATCCAGTGAATAGTGAGCTGAGCATCTACAGCTGAGAAAAACAATGGTCCAAAAATGATGTTTCAAAATTGTGTTTCAGCACAGGTGATGGGTGGGTGGGGTTGGGGCCGCTTGCATTTCTGTGTGGCAGGTATTACAGATGACAACTTCACCCTGGCCCTGTCTGCGGTGATGTGTGTGTGCACCGTAGCCTTGCATCGCCTTGCACTGCGGGGATCAACAGATCTGCACGTCGTCTGACAAAAGGGTTTCTGCCTCCACGCTGCGATGTACAGGACGAGTATCACACAAAGCCTAGGGAAGGGGCCCATTGGAGGCACCAACAATCCAGGCAGCGGTCAGAAAACGTTGAAATCATAATAATTGGAACACCCAACCACCACACGAGCACCGGCAGCGCCTGTCTGTGAAGGTCCAAGTACAGCACGTGCCCAAAAGCACACGGCCACTGAGCCAATGACAACGCGCATTGCATCGCTGGATGCCCGGCACATGTTGCCCCGCAACTTCAGCGAGGTGACCGTCGTCCACGGCGGATGCGAGCAGCAGGTGCGCAAATGCCATGCGCAGCAAAGCCTGTACATGCGCGCGCCCGCCTGAATGAGTGCCGTCACGCATTGTCGTGTGCGCCCATCCTTTCCCTCCTTGCCATGTTATGTAAAGTTCGTGATGATGACGGCAGGATCCGGTAGATCTGAAACTTCCGTGCAGTTTGCCTCGAGTTGCGCGTTGGTAAGGACAGGCTGGTCCAGGGCAGTTTGGCGACAAAAACGGCCGCACTCACTGGGAGCCTGGCCGCCCCCCTATAGTGCGGATCCTCCCCGTTATGATGTACCTGAAAAGTGACGTGGCAGTGACGTCAGCTGTCTGGGTTTTAGGTTTTACGATATAACCCTAACCCTCAGAGCTAAGAACTAAGCCCCTAGACCTAAACCAAAACCTAACCCTCAAACCTAAAAACCGTACTGCCGCGTCACTGCCACGTTACTTTTCAGGGAGATTAGCCCAACGGGGAGGAGTGCAGAAGGCAGAGGATGTCTGACCTGGGGATCGAACCGCGTATCACTGCCTTGCCAAACCATTTCAAGTACCCTCCCATTGAACACCCCGCTCCTCAGACTCGCAACAAGGCACCCGCGCAAGAGACCGTGTCCCCAGCGGGCGGGCAACCAGGGGACTCGCCGACCCCCCAGGCCCACCGGAGCTGCCTGTCGGGCGGGCGGCTACCCTGTCGGGTGCGCGGGCGGTGACCTGACGTCGGGCGCGCGTCGGCAGCCACCTCGACTGGGCAAAGCGCACTCGGCCGCTTCGGCCGGTCCTGGTGGCCGATGGCGCTGCCACGGCGCCGCGACGCGCTGCGGTTTCCTTCACGCGACGCGCCCGCAGCATGGCCGCAAGTTCGAGGACCGCGAGTCTGCTGGCTCCACAGCTCAGAGCGCAACGGCGAAGTGCGCCGCCTGGTTGCATGAAAATCAATTCTCTCGTGATCAAGTTTCACTGTGGCGCTTGATGCCATTCTGATGCGGTTTACATTCTTTGGGGATTTCGAAATAAGTAAAATTTGTTGAAAGAACTCAAAATCTGAATTTCAAATGCAAGGGAGTGTGGTCTATGGAGGCATCAGTGTGGGAACGCAAATTGAGCTCTCAGGAAGGGGTTGCTTTCATTCGTGTGCATTGCACGCGAATGAACATAATATGCACACTGCAATGCACACTGTGCAGGTTGTATTGGGCCTGGGATGATTGCTGTGAATACTAGTAGTCTGCTCTTGAAGGAAATGCCGTTGATGCGATTCAAACCGCCCCCTTTGGAGTGCACACCGGAAGCGCGAATCCACGATCGCCGATGCTTCAACGGGTTGGCACACGGCCAGACGCAAGGCCACGCCACATGCAAAACGCCCAGGGCTTACATATTTGTTCACCCTTCTCACAGCGAAGAGCCTTGCCGACGGTGGCAACGACCCCCGCGACCGAACTGTTCGAATTATCTTGCACGTACAGAACTTTCCTTTTCATGTGACAAGGACCATCATCCATCAACAGCCAGCCATACGACACTCCAAAGATGCCCACTCATCACCACAATAATTCTGTGAATCCTAAAACATGTTTTTCTTTCTTCTGTAGATTCAGAATATTTTGCATATAAACCATCTTCTTGACGTGTATACAAGTCGCACACCATAATGCATAAGTGATCCACCTAGTGAAACGGTGGTCATCATGCGGTGTTGCGAACACTGCCCTTTTTGCCGTGAATGCATACACACCAGGGTAGACGCATCACAAAGCATCTGGTCAGCTGGATTCGATGGCGCAAGAGGGCACAAACGCGAAAGGGCTGTTTCTTCCACGAAAATTTTGTTTCTTCTAAAGGAGTTGCCATACCCCAGAAAGGCTGATCAGCCATGCAGGCAAATGTTTTTCCTGAAAAACTCAGTTGCAGACGAAGTGTTGAATGAATGTCAATGTGCCATTGTGTCTCCCTTCCCAGCGGTGTATTGTGAAAGCCAGATGGTTTCCTAAGAACAGAGTGCCGCACATGTCGTGCACGTTATGCCAGGACTCTGGTTCAATTGGCAACAATTTTTTCGTGTGTGCATTTCAATGCATGTACCCTGGCGATTGTCAACGCGCGTCGAGGCATCTCAGAGATACCACAACAATAGTGGCCATCTAGAATCCAGGCCATGATAGATGCATGCATGGTTAGCCTCTCCAGCCACATGCACTGCAACTGGAGGACTTTGGCTTACTACTATGTGCAATACGAAGGTGCTGCAAGAGGCGTGCACCGAGCTTCATGTCATGGACATGTTGGCCACCGTCGTTGTGAACAAGCTTGCTGACCGGCAGGCCGCAGCGGTTGAATGCACAAGCTTTGGCACAGTTGCCATGCAGCTCCTCCATGGCTATGAATTACCAGTGCTTGTTAAATTAAATGCTCGTGCCAAACCCACTGATCGAAATCCACCTCCACTGCTTATACCGGAAGGCGCAACAGCAGCGACCACTGAGCTAAACCCATCAGCATGGAAAGGCCAGGAAAATGTTGCACATGCAGATGCAGCAGCAGCTGTCTACCAATAAGCATTTGCAGCCATTGTCCAAGAAGTGAAACTGAAGTCGGCCAGGCAAAATTTCAAAAGCCAGAAATAGGCCCACCTTTTCTAGACCTGCCTTTAATCAAACGAATAGGTACTCTGAATCCCAGTTCCTACCTTCACTCCCCATATATGTCCACCCCAGTGCTGTCCAGGCGGCTTCCCCTCTTCGCACTCACACACTCCACATCATCTTTCTACAGCAAAGGAAGACCACCACACGTATGTGCCAAGGTGTGGGTCACCCTTAGCATCTCCTGCCATTCCCTTGGCGTGCAACAAATCTTACCCTCCTCCCCTCCCTCCCTCCCTCCCTCCCTCAAGACACAGCATTCTCCGCCTGTTTTTTCCACCTGCTCGCCCCATTCTCTCCATCCACTCCCCCCCTGGCCTCAACCTCTCACTCGATCACTGGGAGGCTCTACATCATCTTTCTGCAGCATGGAAAAGACTCACATACACTTGCCAAGGAGATGGGTGCGATTGGTGTCTCCTGCCACTATTGTGGTGTGCAAAAAATGTTGCCCTCTCCCAGGACAC